CCGCCGAGGCCCCGCCCACCCCGATGACGTCACGATGACGTCACCACCCCCACAGGGAGATGGAGCTCTTCGTCCACGGCTTCCCCTCGGACGTGGCGGCTCTCAGGGTAAAAGCCACGCCCCCCATGCCCCCAAGCCACGCCCCCTCGCCATAACCACGCCCACAGCGCAGCCACGCCCACCACGAGCCCCGCCCTTTAGCCCCACCCACCTTCTCAAAGCCACGCCCCCACAGAGCCACAAACAGGAGCAAAGCCACGCCCCTCCCTCAAAACCACGCCCCTCCCTTGAGGCCACGCCCCTCCCTTGAGGCCACACCCTCTTAGAGCCACACCTCCTCATAGCCACGCCCCTCCCTTAAGCCACGCCCCTTTCTTAAAACCTGGACCCCCTCCTTTGAAGCCACGCCCATCTAAGCCCTACCCAGCTCCTAAAAGCCACGCCCACTCGAGCCACACCCACCTAAGCCACACCCTCACCCTTAAGCCACGCCCCCTTGAGGCCAGGCCTAACTTAAGCCCCGCCCCCCCAGTTCGAGTGGGCGTGGCAACACCCCTCCTCCTCCCGCCGCCTCCCGGCCCCGCCCACCCGCCGGCCCCGCGAGCAGCCAATCAGCTTCGCCCTGCGGACCCTGCCCCGCCTCCTCCGGGCCCCGCCCTGGTCCCGCCTCCCCCTGCGGCTGCGCTGGCTCCGCCCCGGGCCACGCCCGCCCCTTGAGCCGGCCCCGCCCCCTCACGTCGTGGTGGAGGAGGGGGAGGGGCTCCCTGGGGCCGGGCCACGCCCGCGGAGGGGGCGGGGCAAGGGGAAGGACACGCCCCCTCAGGAGGAGGCTCCGCCCACTATGAAGTGTGACCTGTGCCAAGAGGTAAAAAAGGGGGCGTGGCTTTGAAAGGGGGGCGTGGCCTTCCGTAATGAAGGAGGGGGTGTGGCCTTTGGGAAGGGGGAGGGGCTTCAAAGCGTGGAGGGAGGAGCTTATTGTGGGGGACGGGCTTTGAGAACAGGGGGCGTGGCTTAAGAAGGTGGGGGTTAAGAGTGGGGCGTGGCTC